AAGGAAATGTAAAGCTTTAGTCCTTGAAAGTTATCTAAGATAATAAAGAAACACAGGTTAATAGTCATGTATAACAGTCAAACTTACAGTCGTGTTAGGTATGTTTTCGAGGTCAATCAGAGACATTTTAAATAGATAGATGGTCTTCAAACACTTCAGAGACCTACAAAATATGGCATTTTAATGTTTTAATAACATAGGCCTTTTCATGACAGTGAGACACATCTGCTCCTAGCAGTACCAATCTATTTTATGGGCATCAAAGAATGTTCGTAAGGAGTTTGCTTTCTTTGTGGCAAAACCTAGTCATTTGGGCAAGAAACTGCCCTTGCCTCAACTGCTGACAGTAGGCTATCCAAATTGGACAAGCAGGACACAAAAGAAAGTGACTGTGGCACTTTGCCAAGACAAGGTAGGACAGTCTTTCAAAAATTTCTGCTTCACAGAAAAATCTGTCAGTATTCCAGGCCTGTAGATTGATGCCCCAACATTACAGAGGAAACCTGGGTCACTGTCCAGGCAGCAGCTGTTTCTGTCATTTTTTTTATAGTTTTGAAAGTTGCTTTCTCTGCACTTCCTGTTTACTCAAGTAATATTTTATCTTCTGTGGGTCTCTGATGGGGATTGAAAACTAGCTAGTTATATAGTTTTACAGTTTTCCTTGTTACCAAATTCAGAAAAGAAACTTAATAAAAGATACAAAGTTTATATGGTTGAAAAACATAAATGCTTAAGTTTGTCTAAAAAATGTTTTAAAGTCTAAAAAGATATTTTTAGGATGGTAGTACAAGTTATGACAAAAAATGGTTTAAGTATAAAACTTTATACTAAGATAGGGTAGATTATGGAGTATTTTCTCTAAATTTGCCAAATACAAATTGTAGACATTATAAATGTAATGTTTACCTGATATTGTCCTTATTGTATATAGTTTTACTATGTTAGAGTTAGAACACTTTCCTTTTTATTTAGACAAAAAGTGGGAAATGTTGCAAGATATTTGATTATACTATGTAAAGATATGTCAGTATGATTGGTTTAATAAAAAGCTAAACAGCCAATAGCAGGGACTTCTGGACAAAGAGAGCTCTGGGAAGAAGGAGGGCAGAGTCACCAGATAGATGGAGAGCAAACAGGAGGTGCAAGATGAAAGAGAGGTAATGCCACATGATAAAATGTAGATTAATATAAATGGGTTAATTTAAGTTACAAGTGCTAGCTAGGAACAAGCCTAAGCTATAGGCTGAGCTTTCATAATTAATAAGAAGTTTCCATGTCATTATTTGTGAGCATGTGGCATAAAGAAAAGCCTGACTATAGTTAGTTGCATGCCATAACTAGAGGGTAAGACCATAGTGTTGAAGATACCACATGCTTTGGTTGCGAGACAGAAAAATAGAGCTGGACTGAGCTTCCTCCCTACCAGCTGGATTTTACAGTGTTGGAAGGTGCTTTGTGGGCTGCTGGGGAAGAATTGACACTAAGGGTCCTGCTTAGCTACAGACTTTGTATGCTACAGTACCAAAATACCGGTCAGGTACATAAAATGGTACAACTATCATGGGTACAGCCAACAGATTTCTGATTAGATTTGAAGATCACTTAACAGGAGGGCATTCATGTCTGGAACTATAAGTCAACACAAAAACCTATAGCTAGAGAGGTCTTAGGCCCCAGTAGGAAGGCTGCTACCGTTTTGTTACATGGGTGTGATGTGCCTATCAAACTGTCTTATAAACATTTATGCTTAAACCCATAGGTCAATGGTGTTGTCAGCCACAACTGGACATGGAAGGAAGCTTCCTCTTACAGGGGATGGTGTACTACACTCCAGAGACTCATAACCACCACCACACCCCCAGAAGCTCCTGGGAAAAAGTGATTGTTTCTATGGTACAGTGTCATCTGTATTACCCTCTATAAAGCTCAGGGAACATCATGGAAGAGAGAACCAAAAGAATATAAAACCAGTTTGTGGAGCAATTTCCTCAGAGGTGAAACAGTCCACCCTGCCAGGGGGGATCCTTATGGTTCAGGAAGTCCTAAACTGAAACGTTCCCTCCAGGGAAGAGCTTGGGGGAAGAAGACTCATGAACCCCATGAAGAAACAACTTAGGAGTCTTGAGAAGTTCCTGGAATGAACAAGACACACAGCTCCCCCCTCTCCCAAAAAAAGTTAAAGACCCAATGAACAATTGCTAGGTAACCTGGAGTGACTACAGGACCAGAAAGTTAAAATGGGCCATTGTATGGGGGAGGGGAAGAGAGGGACAAAGCAGGGTACAAATGAATTGAAGAAGTGAGGAAAATGGGCGGACTTTAATTAGGGAGGAGTAGAGGGATAAACACAGAAAAAGTAATTGGAGAAGGTAAAATAATACCAAAGGTGTCTGAAAAGGCATAAAAAAATCATACTATTAACTATCTACCTAAAAATAGCTATGATACACATAAGACAGTGTATAAATATGCAGATATAACTGAAATAAAATTTTCCTGTCTGGGTTGACAATGTTTCCCAAAGCCATAGACCATCTAACAAAAACCCTAACACCAGTCATGAGAAGTCCTCTTCTAAGTGGTTATTCAGCATTGTTCAAGAGAATCCCAAAACATTACAGGCTATTAATGTTGCCCTTGTTTGCCCCCACCCCAGAAGTGGAAGGTGAGTCCCTATTGCTGAAGATACCGTGTATGGTGGTTTGAAAGAAAATGGCCCCATGGGGAGTGGTACTATTAGGAGGTGTGGCCTTGTTGGAGTAGGAGTGGCCTTATTGGAGGAAGTGTGTCACTATGGGGGTGAGCTCCTATCCTCAAGCTACACTCAGTGTGACACACAGTTTTTCTGCTGCCAGCAGATCAAGATGTGAGACTCTCAGTTCCTTCTCCAGCACCATGTCTGCCTGCATGCCACCATGTCACCCACCATGATGATAATGGACTAAACCTCTGAACTGTAAGCCAGCCCCCATTAAATGTTTTCCTTTATAAGAGTCATCGTGGTCATGGTGTCTCTTCACAGCAATAGAAACCCTAATGAAGACACATGTACTTCAGATCTAGGGCCCAGATGCCCCCCGAGCTAGATCTGACCTGAAAGCCTCCTCCCTAAGGACTAGCTTTCATGGTGCCAGAAGGTACCATACAAGCTTCCAAAGGAGGGAAGCAACCAATTGTCCTATGTAGCTATGATGTCTATGAACCCAACAGTGATTAGCATGGCTCAGTAACCCCAAAGGTGCAGTAGTGGGAATGCATACCTTGGCAGTAACAAGCAGTTCCCTAACTGGGCTCACAACACACTCAGTAAGAGGGAAATCACGTCTGCTGCTAGAAACCTAGCCAATTACCCAGGGTTAGTGAAGTCATGGATCTTAGAAGAGAACCTACAGCTGCCACTTTACTAAACCAACATAATTCCCAACTATATCCTAAATATTTGTCCTTATACCAACAGATAGATAACTGTAGTCTTTACCTTCACCAAGAAAACTTCTCTTTACAATAGATGGAGACCATGGCAGAAAACAATCACAACCAGTCAAAGTGCAGAGTGGTAGGGCCCAGTCCCAAATGATACATCTACAAAACAACTCTTGTATCTAAGCCTCAGAGGTCATTGTGGAAGAGGAGACAGAAAGATTGTAAGAGGTGGGGGGAACAGGGAGTTTGCTCCTGTGAGCTTGTGTGACAGGGCAAGACAGTGCAGAGTTTCCTCCAACTTGAGTTTTTGAGGAAGCCATTTCAGGTCTTACTAGAATATTATCTCCTTGATGAAGAATCCCATGGAAAATTACCCAGCTCTACTCCAGGACCCAAAGGTCAGGATGTCCTAGTTAAGTCAGCTTCTGTTACATTGCCTGTTTGTGCTGAACAACCTCCAGCTAACTGCTTATCTTAGCTTCTGTTAAACTGCTTGCTTCTACAAAGCTCCCCAGAAGCTGCAGAGCAAGATGCCGGGATATGGTTTTGTTCTTTGAGGTTTTCTGGAGGGTGGTGCCTTAAAATCCCTGTGTTCTAGACACTTGGGGCTACACCTAGGTCCCCAAATATTTGGGTGTAGTCTCAGATGGTTGGAATAAAGACTTTCAATTGGCTGTAAACTGTGTCTGAGTGGTCATCTCCCGTAATCTACTCATAACAATTGTGTCTCCTAGAAATGTCAGAATCTACACCCATGAGGTCTCCCTAACATGCATGCCCTAACATGAGCTAAACAAAGACAAGGACAACATTAATAAGCATGCTAATATAGATGGGGAACCCCTACACAAAGAACTACAGGCAACTAAGGAGTGCAGAAAGTAGGAGACATCTTCCCCAAGGAAGAGCATAGCAATTGGTTATGCAATACCAAATGTCAGCCTGAAAACACACATACCCATAATGTTATGTAGACTAAACTGGTACTTTTGTATTTAAGAATATACATACATATATGTATATAATATGTGTACATAATACATAAATATCTATAACAGGAATGTACATTATGTATATAATCATAACAATTAAAGAAAAAGAGACCATGAATTTGAAAGAGAGCAATGGGGGAGTATGTGGGAGAGTCTGGGGGAGGAAGGGGAAAGGGGAAACGAGTAACTACATTATCTCAGAAAAAATTTAAATCTTGAAAATAAAACAATTGCTGGGGAACAAAAGAGGAGCCGGAGCTGCTTAGAAGAGGCTCATTGATCTAGCAGTCTGCCAGAAGCTGAGCAGAGAGCTCCCAGATTGCCGTGTGTGTGAGCTATCACTCAAGGTGGGCTTTCGGTGAAGCGGCAGCCTGTGAGTCATCTCCACTCCTATAAGTCATCCCTCACCCCTCAGGAAAAATCTCACATAACTTGAACAGAGAGGCTGTCAAGGAGAACATGGCAGAATCCAGGGGAGACAGTAGCCAAGGTGAGGGGGTGTGAACTCATGGGAAAGAGTGGGAGGTAGCTTACATCCTACCTCAACCCCCACCCCTGACCTAGGGGATAGTTGCTAAGTCAGCAGTGACCTCACAATCACTGTCCAGGCCTTCTATCCCCCAGGCCAACATCCATCTTCTTCCAACTCTGCCCTTTATCGTTACATCCAGAGGACACATCCTACCTCTGAGTCACCACACTAGCAGACCCAGGGATCACGACAAAAAGAGTGTCAGTCTCTCCTGTGGGCACAGCTAAGACATCAGCATGTCACAAGACTTAGGAGACCTCAAGGATCTGATGCCCACTGAAAGGAAGTCTGTCTGGAGGACAGCTGAGGAGAGGCGGATGTCTGACCTCACCCGTGTGCTGGAGTGGCTGGAAAGGAGGCAGGGCAAGAAGAAGCGTGCCCTCCAGGTGTGTACGTTGGAAGAAATTGCTGGAAGACTTTATGCAAGATTATTAACAGGAGAGAGAATTGAAATTCAACACCCCCTAGCAAAGGGGGATCATTTTTTAAACACTGGGGTAAGCTAGTGGGTAAGTTTAGAGGTGAGACCACTCACCCTGTTTGGGCTGTCTGTGTCTCCTAATGACAATTGTCATGGTTGGGCTTCTTCTCTCCCACCAAAGACAGGGTTACAATCTTTCCTGGTGGCCATATTTTAAGGGATGGCTTCAGGTCCTTGAGAAAGATGCTTCACTATAGAAAATGTAGGGTGTGGCTAACAGATTTCTCTTTGAGAGGGGGAAGAGAAAGAGATTGCTCAAATACAAATGTTCTGAAGTAGACACTCTAGAAGGCACTTGGATCGGAGTCTGTGGTGAGGAAGAAGTCTGCCTAACATTAGGTCAAACTGTGGGCATTGCTAATACCTGTCAGTATTAGAAATAGTCACGAGCACTAGCTTATGGGGTCTCCATGTGGGCAAATTAGGAGCCTCCCCACTGTTCCTAGCCTCCTCCCTCCTCCCGACGGCTCCAGCATAGATCATTCATTCCTACTGCCGTTCCCCCACTGAGACTCCTACTAGCATATACCTGACTCCTCCCCCATGCAAAGGGCTGCTCTCACCAGCCCATTCCTCTTTCATTGGGAGTCTTAGGTACCAAATTTGCCTTTTCCCCCAGAGTTTAGGTCCCCTGGGTCCCTCATTTGTGAAAATCAAGTTAGGCCTATGGAAGGTGGTACCCTCTTCAGAAGATACTGAGATCCCATATCCCCAGCTGCAGAGGATGCTTCCTATGGCCTCTTGTCCCAGAGTAAATGGGTGAAGAGAGCATGACTAAGGATGGACTCATCCTGTAGCTAATCTTTACTGTCATCCCCTGCTCCTAGCCAGGTGCACAGCGCGCGCACACACACATACACGCACGCGCGCGCACACACACACACACACACACACACACACACACACAGGTCATTCTGGAATGTTGACAAAGGTACCAGGGGATAGATGCTAGGGTAGTCCAGAGACCAAGAGACAGTGAAGAGATAAGAGACTTTAGAGTGTCGGTACTAAGAGGTTGTTTGCCAGGACTGTTCTCCTATTTAGGGACAGTAGATGGAACCTTCACAGGGTGGCTTCAGAGCCCTTTCTCCTGCTTTTTCAGAAAAAGATCGAAGAGGTGGGCCATGCAGAAGAGAAGGCAGGGAAGAAAGGCCCAGGGGCTAAAAAGAAGGACAAAGAGGGCCGCAAGGTGACCTTCAACAAGGTAATCACCCCTCCAGCTTTGCCCACAGCTGCTGCTCTGCTATGGTGTCCAGTCACACGGTTTATGAAGGCCCTGAGATCCTCTCTGTCCTGTAATGACAGCTCAATAACTAAGTCTCCTGCATGCACACCCCCCACCCCACCTCGTGCTGCTTCACCAACAACAATCCCTCCTCACCTGAGGTCCAATTTCAGGACAAGTGTCTCGCCTTCCTCCTCCCACATCCCTCCACACTCAAGGATGCCAGGGCACAGAGAGCCATGGGAGCACTCAGCCCTGTAGTTAGAGGGTATCCCAGACCTGCCTGCAGGCACGGCCTGTATGTACCCCTAGGAGATGGGGCGGAAAAAAAATGAAGTCTCAGTAAGCCAACACAGAGGGCACCGCTGCCCCCTTGAACTCTTCCTGGGCCGAGGGCAAGTCCTTGAGCAAACTGGAACTTTCTCTCTTTGGGTTTGGAGGATGCTCAGCATAATTTCTCTCCTGGCTCCAAGAATCAAGATCCAAATGCCATCAAGAAGTTCCCTGCCGGTTACCAGAAGGGGTACATAACAGATGTAAAGGGCAAGCGTCTGAACATGATGTCCACCGCCTTCAGCAGGGATGGCCTTAAGAAGTCTGGTAAGGAGACAACCTAGGCCCTGGGGTACTAGAACTGGTCCTCCCTGATCCAGTTTCTCAGAGGCAGCGCAAGAGCTGCCCATCCATGTCCATTGAAACCTGTGTAAGTAAGAGTTAGGACCCAACATGCAGGGTCCTTGGGGTACCACTCCCATGGTGGCACTGGGTAGGAGGGAGTGGTTGTGGAGCTCCATTTATCCCCAAGTATTCTCAGGGATCCAGCACAGTGTGCTGCTCGGTGCTGAATTATGTTGGTGACAGCGCCTTCATGAGTTCCAAATTTCCTAAGTTAAACACTATGACAATGTCTGCTACAGAAGGTACCGTCCTAGCGACCTGACATCTGCCAAGTAGTGTCCATCCCTAGAGAGAGAAAGGGCTGAGTTCCAGTTCACAGTCCTGCTCCACCACTCAGCGGTATCATGCTGGACCTGCCCTCAGCTCTGGGTCTAGGTTTGTCACATATTAAATGGTAGAGTGACCCTGCTTTCTCTGTGGTGTGGCGGCAGGGATCGGGGCCTGTAAATCAGCCTCACACAGAAGCGCTCAGAGGATTGGAAAACAGAAACCCTAAGTTTGGTTGTGCTTGGTCTCTTGGGACACGAGTTTTTGGGGAAAGTGGAATCCGGAAGGTATTCCTACAGGCCTGTGTGGAAAGTGAGGAGGAGCGTGGTGCACTTTTGTGTCTCAAAACAAACACTCTCCCCAACTTTTCATCTAGTCCACCAAAGCTGTGGTCTGCAAACGGAAGCCTCTGGTCTGTCACAGTTCAGTGTGACGAAGGACTTGTGGTGCTAAGAGCACCGGGGGACTCTGAGTTGAACCCACAGCATCACGTTAATGGAGCACTCATCTGACCCAAGAAGCCCTGCAAGCTGTCAGTTGTCGATCCCTTGCTTTTGGTAAAGGCACTGTGGTTATATGAGACGTGAGCATTCAAGACAACCGAGTGAAGGGTATTAGAAGCCCTCTTCATTGTCTTTGAAGCTATTCTAATTGTTCTTACTATATAAAGTTACGTAAATTCTTAATTATTCTAAAAATTGTATTAAAAAGTTACTGGAGAAATAAAATCAAGATGAGAAGCTCTGGACTTCAGCTGTGCTGTCTGTGACCCCCACTGTCACCGTTGTCACTGTGGGGGCCCCATTGGCTTCGTGAGCTTCCTTAGATCTTGCTTTCAGCAGAAGCCCCTTTCCCTGCCTCCTGAAGCTGAGACGCACAGTAGTCTTGCTACTGTGGTTTCTTCCCAGACTCCTCACGGGAAGCCTTTGTGTGTGAGCAGAGTTCACTGAAACTTTGGGGGTCAGCAGAGGCTAAGAATCACATCACAGAGGAAGAGTGCACACGAACCGGGCTGGTCAGGAGACCCCACTTTCATTCTTCAGAGTCCTTTGTCTTCTGACCCCCCAAAGATTTTCTTAGCTGCACTTGCCAGTATAGAAAGCTTCCTGGGGTTTTCTTAAAGTTCCAGGCAGAGTTTTGAGGGGGCCGACCAGAAGCACTGGTGTTCATCACTGATGGAGAGAGCAGAAGTCTGCTTAAGGATCCTCTACCGTAGTTCCAGTCCTCGAAGGCTCTTCCTCCCCTCTCTTTCCTCCGCCCGCGCCTCCACCTCTGCACTCCCCACCCCACTCAATGCCACTGGCTTTTTGCTTACTCTGATCTTGGTTTCTTCTGTCTCATTCAGAAAGTATGCTATGAAGACATTTTCCTAAACAAAATTAGTCCCTTCCCTAAAGAAACCTCCTGACCATGGGTAATTTCACCTCGCTGTACAGGATGGAGACATGAAGGTTGACTGGCCGGCAGCTTGATCCTCTGTTGTCCTCTTACTCTGTTCCTCACCATCCGAGACAAATGTACCCTATCTGAGAGTAGGGAAGTCTTGCTTCTGATGTATAACAACCCATAGCCACTAGAGGGCAGTGAATGGGTCCAGGCAGCTAAGAAGCACCTGCACCTGTCCTCATCTGGCATCCAGGGCTGGGCCAGGCTGAGCTTAGCCACAGTACAGACATCTTCCCATGCAGTCTTGCAAGCCACCTCAGACAAGCAGGCAGGACCTGGAGGGAAACACAACGTTGAGGAGGCAGCCAGATACATGCCCAACTCCCATTACTGCTTTGAACTATACAGGCTCAACAGCTTCGTGTGCCTTCACCTTAGAGGAGGGCAGTGTAATCACCCAGCAGAAAGTGCTCTGGCTGGTGACCTGCTCCTCCAACCTCCACGGCCTGGTCTTGTGGCTTCTCCCACCTTTATACTTCCTCTGTGTCTCAGCCACTGCTCTCTTCATTTGCACTTGGTCCTCCACTGAACGGTCCTCCTGCAGCTGTGACTCCCATGGCTGCCACATTTCCCTTCCTAACTAATTTGTGCATTTATGTTTAGTGTGATTTTCTTCATAACACTGCCATGGAAAAGTAATAAACCTCAAATGAGGGACGACTTACCACAAAGAAATGAAGATCGGTGAACTGATTGAAAAACAATTCAGAACAATTTTCCCTAAAGCTTAATGAACTCTAAGGCAACGATCATCAAAGAAGCTTCCTCCTTCAGTGGATGGGAGCTACTACAGAGACCCATAATTGAATAATGTACAGAGAGTGCCTTGGAGCACTCAGTCCTAAATGGTATGTCTCCATCAAATCCCTGCCCTGGGGGCTCAGGGGGCTATGTGTAAGAGGAGACAGAAGAGTGTGAGAGCCAGTGAGGATGGAGCACACCAAGGAAACAAGACTTTCCAAACACAGTAGGACCAACACGTATGTGAACTCACGGAGACGGAGGCAGCATGTACAAGGCCCTGCACAGCTCCAAGCCAGATGGGGTCCCCGGCACTGAGAGGGAAGGTGGACACAGGCTCCCATCCCTAACCAAGAAGCTATCTCCAATTGACCGTCACCTACAAAGGAAAAATAAGTTTTCTCCAATGAATTCTCACTGGGTATATAAACCACACTTAAGTGCAGGCCCAGCGATAGATGGCCAACGCAAAATGAACTCAATGGCACTGTTGAAGTTTTTGTCTCATATTTATTGCTTTGTCTGGGAATTTTTTTACCTTACTGGTCTTCTGCTTGTATATTATGATTTTTAATTTTGTGTTTTTACGGGTTCTATTGGGGGGTGTGATGGTGGTGGTGGTGTGTGTGTGTCTGTGTGTGTGTGTGTGTGTGTGTGTGTGTGTGAGTGTGTGTGTGTCCGGTGCTTTTTCTTTGTTTTGTTTTTAAATTGGGGTTGTTTCTTTTGTTTTGTCTTTTTGATTTCTATAAAGAGAAAGAAAAGGAAGGAAGGAAGGAAGGAAGGAAGGAAGGAAGGAAGGAAGGAAGGAAGGAAGGAAGGAAGGCAGGCGAGGATCTGGGATGTGTCTGAGATAAGGGAAAAGAAACTGATCAGAATACATTGTATAAAAAATCTTCAATTAAAACAAACAGGACACTAAGGAACAAAAGAGGCAACAAAATGAAATTAGAAAAAGCATGTTTGAATGAAATGAGAAGTGTGGCAAAGAAACAGGACCACTTTAAAAGACAAAAACCAGAAATCTGAGGGACTGAGGAACACGCAGTGTCCTGCAATGGAGCGTTTTAACTGCACACAGAGAACATACAGATTCCTCAGTCCAGACACTTTTGAAATGATCGAGTGAGAGAGACAAATAGAAATTTCAAAAAAAAAAATCAAATGCATGCAACGTGGCTGTCTGAGAAAGAGACAAAAAACCAGGGAAGGTCATCTAAGAACTAAATAAGGAAGCATGGTGGTGAGCACCTCTAATCCCAGCACTCAGGAGACAGAGGCAGGAGGATCTGTGTGAGTCGAAGGCCAGCCTGGTCTACATAGCGAGTTTCAGGCCAGCCAAGGCTACAGAAAGACACCATGTCTCCAAACAAACAAGAAAAAATGAGTGAAAACTTCCAAATTCAGGGAGAGGAAAATCGATTCATGAGACCCCAAAACATCTATACCAAGACAAGACACATTAAATCCCAAGTCTATGCAAAGGGCTTGAAAGCAATAGAAAAGCAACTTTTCATCCACAGGGAGCTTCCATGAGACTAGGAATTTCTAAATGGAAATGCTGTAGAGCAGGACGTATGTAGAGGATGCATTCAAAATATTGAAAGAAGAGACACCTGACATCCCAAAATACTATGCCCATGAAAACTGTGCTTCAGAAATGGAAGAGATGCCGGGTGGTGGTGATGGCACATGCCTTTAATCTCAGCACTCGTGAGGCAAAGGCAGGTAGATCTCTGAGTTTGAGGCCAGCCTGGTCTACAGAGAGAGTTCCAGGACAGCCAGGCTACACAGAGAAACCCTGTCTCAAAGAAAAAGTAAGAAAAGAAGGGAGGGAGGGGAGGGAGGGAGAGGGAAGGGGAGAAGGAAGGAGGGAGGGAAGAAAAGAAAAAAGAAAGAAAAGAGAGAAATGGAAGAGACAACCAGACTTGGTAGTACATTCTTGTAATCCCAGCACTCGGGCGGAACTCTGAGAGTCATAAGCTAAGGCCAACCTGGGCTACATGAGACCCTATCTCAGGAAAAAGAGGATGAGGGCAGTAGGTATTTTCCAAAATGGGCAAAATTTGAGCGAGTTCATTCATATTACAACCAGGGTTGTTTCTCAACAGAAATAAGATGCTATGTATTAACAACATACTTACTAATGAATGTAAAAAAAATCTCCCGGTTAACAGTAACTATATAGTCAAACTCAGAATTCTGTAGTGTTGTAATGGTTGTTTGTAAATCATGTCCAAGGCTGGAATGAAAGTTCAAAGGTAAACATCTTTTTTAGATTTAACTATGTGTACTTGTGTAGTGTGTAGTCCATATGTGGGCATGTGCACATGAGTGCAGGTGCCTAAGGAGGCAATAGGTGTCAGATCCCCTTGAGATGGCATTATAGCAGTTGTGAGCCACCTGATTTGGGGTTCCAGGAACCGAACTCAGGTCCTCAGCAAGAGCAGTCTGTGCTCTTAACTATGAGG